TGCCAGGTCGGCGGGACGACCACGAGATGGTAAACAGTGCCGCGGCCGTCTGACATGTCATGTCATGACGGGGTTCCACAATCTGGCTCGAGACGGATCATGTGTTGAGACTGAGAGACTAAACGATTTGCCCAATCGCAATTTACCCATTTGCCCAATTGCTCCGTTTCAATTGAGAGGCGGCCGAATTAAAGTGAGGTACCAGCCGATACAAGGGATACGGGACTCTTCAGAATTCCGCATCCCCTCGCCTCTTCTCTGCCCTCCTGCCTAACCCTATCACTGTCAGGCAGTATTTTGCTCTCAAACCTTTCTCTTCAGACGGTGTGAAGCCCATCTGCCTGCCTCTTCTCTGTCGCCCTGGCTGTCCATCCGCTTGTTTGTCTGTCGGCTAATCCGTCCGTCTTAGCCTATTGCTGGGGGCCGGGGGTACCCCAATGTCTGACTACCCTTCGCCCTCCGCTTCGCCCACAGCAGCCAAAACCGTATGGCAGGCAAGTGGCCGAGATGCGACGAGTGGGAGCCACAGTGTGTATTGCCCATTTTGGCCGGCTGTCAGGCTGTGTGAGTGGCCGGTCCATGTGGGGGACGGGAACGGGCGATCGGCTGGATTTCAACTCTAATTGGAAGATGAGATGCGCCCGCTGTTCCGGTCTCTTCCTCTCGTCCCGGACGAGTGTCCATTACAGAGGGGAGGCTGCTTGAGTCCGTCCGAGGCTGGGGAAACTAGGCAGAGTAGATTGAATCGTTCCGTCGCCAACCACGTCACCACCGCTGCATACGCCTCAGCAATAAGACCCGGCCAACAAGACTGAAGTCTACAGCTATTTATGTTGGAGGTGTTGCTGTGGCCTTTAAGAGAATGATCAGAGCTAATGGTGTTCTATATTTAGATATCATATATGAGGCGTGTGAATCCTATTTTATTTGGCGCGATGAGGGGACTGATAATTGAATTTTCCCTAATGATATAAGTAGACCTGAAGTTTCCATTGAATTTCGCATAGCCTTGCTTTCACACAAGGTATTCTCATCCATCTCAGCACCCTAAACAAAATAGGGTGAATACATATCATATATATGATCTATTGGTAGTTTTGGAAGCCTACATATAAACGAAAAATAATAACTTAGGTATGATGACCAAGATGGTGTGGTCTTTTGTGTGGTTGCATAGAAGTTGCTTGACCTTGTTTTCGCGACTTGGTCATATTGGTAGGAAGACTTAAAGGAGCGCACCTAGTCCAGGGTCCATTGTATGCATCATCATTTCCAAAGTCGGACCGTGGACGTGGTCGTCAAAGAGACAAGACTTGTCTGTACTATGGTGTTAAGAATGGCGAGACTTACTGACGATGCCGGCGAAACGTCTGGGAAAGTATCACGTCCACAGTCCGAATTTGGAAATGATGATGCATACAATGGACTCCGGACTAAGTGAGTTCGTCTAAGTCTTCCTACCAATATGTCCAAGTTGCGAAAACAAGATTAAACAACTTCTAATAGGTAAAACGTAGTTGATTGCTACAGCAAATACACCTTTGCTTCATCGACAAACCCATTACAGGATGTGAAATCGGAAAATGTCTGGTCATCTTTAAAATTCACATCTCGTACAATATGGCGTAGTGGGTAACGTGTCAAGATTATACGATATACTGTCATGGTTCTAGCCCCGATGGGGATGTTGATATGACCTAGGCGAGGTCTAGACTGTAGTTCTGGATAAAAATAACCTTTGGGAAAGCAAAACTATGTGAAATTCTATGGAAACGTCATATAATTGTGGGGAAATACAACAATCAGTACCTTATCACACTAAACCGAATAGGATGAATACATCTCACATGTTATAGTGTCCTGATTGCCTCTCTCACTAGACGACAAAAGACCACTATATAGGCAATGGGAAGAGAGAGAGGAAGAGAGAGAAAGAATGTGGGTTTGAGGGGAGGGCAATAACTGAGCTATGAGCAGCGGCGACGGTTGATTCCCGCCGGCCTTTTCGGAGGTGGGCAGAAGTTTAGTAATAGGGGAATAACAAGGCGAAGAATGATTTCGAGACGGAAACATAAAGATTGGGGGAATGGATACTGATTTCGGTGTCACGATGGCAACAGCCCCCCCTCACAATGACCAATGAATTGAGTAAATTCTCTTTTTGCAGCTGTCGAGCAGCATATTGTTGTCAATCTGGACCTGGTAGTCTCGAAAACCTACTTACAAACAAAACATTCCGATGGTAATCTTCCTTTCGGATGGAACTGGCATGGCTATCAATCAAAAGTCTAGCAGGTATTTTGTGTATGTGTGTGTGCATGCGTCTTTGAATCAGATCATAATATATTAGGGTGCTAGTTCACAAAGTATGGATTCAAGCCCTGATGGTATCTGTAACTGCGGTACAGACAAAAGCTTTGTACAGATTCAATGGAGCCGAGGACCTCTTCGGACAATCAAACAGTCTTCCTTCTCGTTTGGTTTCAGGTGAAACCAACTCACCTGAATTCCTTCCAACTAACTTTTCCTCAGAAATGGAAAGCCGAGTCACCCTTTCGAGGAGTAGTAAATTTGTATATGCAAAATTGGGCATCCTCTTTGATGATTTAACGACAACTGTTTACCTTCTAAAAGCAATGTGCATTTGGCAATTTGATGTTCACAATATGTTGGGTGGGAGACTTAATTTCTACTGCTACTACTTTGATATTATTAATATGAGGAAGCACAAGGTAATCATGCAACGACGGCAAAAGCGTCAGTAGAGACTAGTGGGTTCGAATATCAGAGGTAGCGGAACGCACTGCAGAAACTAGGCGTGAGACAAAATGGTGGCATAATTGCGATTTTTGTCTGCTACTAAGCACAACATTAGAGAGGCCATCGGACTTAACCTAATAGGGCATTACAATAAATGTCAGGAATATCATAATATTATGAGTAAGAACTACTTACATTAATTAAAAGTAGGCTCCGAGGCTAATATTCAAGAGAGTCCAACAATGTGGTAATGCTTTTTCCTACGATCATACGTTTTGGTTCCCTCTCTTTATCTCTCACACGCACATAAAAGTTCATCAACTTGACTAGGCGTGTGACCGACATTACGCAATCGAGGTGATGGTTAAAACAAGAGGTAGGGGTCATTAGAGCCTGATGATCAAGGACAGATGTTCTGTTCCAATTACTTTGGTCAATCTCTGCTTCTTCCGTACATATATGTACACATAAAGGCACATGTTCACACGCAAAGTATTCGAGATTGATATATGACCAAATAACTTTATATCTCATACAAATATAGGTAGAAATAAGCCCGAAATCTTTCTTGACTTGTTAGCTTAATTATTGTTGTAAAATTGGTAACATAGTTTAATGATGTCCTACTTGTGACTGACGAAAGCTTGGTACAGTTGAGATGAATATTTCCACAATTAACTGAGCATCCCATTTAATTTTTACTCGGCATTGCTTGCTAAAAGTTATTCTCACTCATGCTTAACTGCGATTTCGACCTGGCCTAGGTCTCATCAGCATCCCCAGCGAGAGCCGAACCCAAAACTATTGTCCCAACAACTGATTTTTTTTAAATTTTCTGTCACTTCCTCGTTACCTTAAGCGACCTAGAGGGACTTAAGCTCTTAATCAAGCTCTACTGCTGTTCTCGAAATCCTACTCAAAGCGAATGGAAGTGTAATGCAAACTTTCCAAAAAGAATGCTCAAGTAAAGTCAACCGACAGTTGACCAAAAGGAATCTGCCGTTGTCTTCTGGTTGGATTGACATCCGAGTCTCTTCAATGCAGACTTACAACCGAAAAAGAAGTAAGCTTGACT